GAATTGAAACCATGTTCAAAAGAATTAAATGATACATTTTTATTAATTATGAATTATATTTTATTAATTACTCACTTTTGCAGCAAATACAGTAACAATTTACTTTTGTTACAATTTTGCAGTAGATGGGATTCTGAGTCCTCAACAAACACTGCCACCCGCGCTGCCACCGAAGAGTCCACGTTTGGTTCCGGTTCCCCAAAGACGGACGATTTCGGGACCCCCGAGCGGTACCGGGGGCGAGTTGCAAACAAAGCTGCGTCGACTGCTGAACACCGACAGCAAGGAGAATATGTTCTTTCCCGACAGCCCGCCGCAGAGCACGGCACAGAGCAACGGAGTGCCGACACGAGAGGAGAAATTCCGATATTCGCCCGGAAGTCTCTCGCCCGGTTGTCGGGACGATGACCGTATTCTGGTGAGAAAAAAATCACGACATATCGATCTTCGCTTCGTGCTATAATACCATCACTCATCTTCCGCATAGTCGTGCACTATTTTAAGCTGTGCGATACATCTCAGCGTTCGCATACACATACACTTTTTTGTCAAGGGAATTTATATACATGTTCATCAATGAACACTACGTTGGTTGTGTCATTACACGTTGCCTTATTTTTTCGCAGCATTGCGCGCCGCAAGATGTTCGTTTCAAGTTTGGCAGAAGCAACTCGCATTCGCACACTTCGGGTAGATCCGGTCGGAAGTCAAACAGCTCGCCGTCGGTGGAAAATACGATATGCCACAAGTCGCTGCCAGATTTACACACGAGTACGCGTCGCCGAGCATCACTCTCACCGCGCGCATCCACGAAATTATCCGCGAAGCCATCTGCCCATCATCAGGCTACAAACACAAGCAATTGCCCGGACTATGAAACTAGTTCAGATTACTCGGATCACAGTTTTAAACGTGATGCCGTTTGTTATCGCAGGTAAGTGAATTCTGCTTGAGTCAATGATTTGTACCACTTTTAATAATGATACAAATTGCCAATAGATCCAACAATTTTACTTAGTTGATTTTAAGTAAAGTGGGTGATCAATTGTGGTGCATTTCTAATCCATTTTTTAGTTCCCGCCATATCAGGCGATCTTTGGGATCTGGTGGCGGCGATGCGAGCAGCGTGTTATCCTCGGGTGGACGAACACAGAAGTCATCGGGTTCCAGCAAGTTGAGCCACGGGGCGACAGCCAGAGACTCCGGCGGTTCCTCTGGACATTGTACTCATCGTAGCGAGCCAGCGCCCAGGATACAGGTACGAACAGTTTGACGAGATATATATATTCCAAGGGTAAGATCTGTTTGATCTTAATCATCGTCTTAATCATCGTCGATCTCTCGCAGGATTGTTGGGCTCATATACGCAGAGACAGCGGTGCGTCCACACAACATTCTACTGAAAAAGACCGATCTAGAAAAGGCAGCTACATTGGTGGAACACCGCCATCCGTTGTGAGGCACTACAGTCCGGAATCTGAAAGTAGCAATAGTCAAACAGATTACAGCCCAACTTGTAATTCAAGGTATTCAAACGCCTTTCACTTTTAATTACTTGAGATGTTTGTAAAGAAGATTTAAAACTTATTGTCTACCCGAAGGAAATTAAGCACAGCAACGTTTGTTATAATATGATTATGATTTTAGGTTCTCTGATGGTTGGAAGGAAGGTCGCGGTCGACCGATCCTACGATCTAAATCAGATATTAGCGATCGATATTGGCGACAGGATAATGGCCGTTCCAGCAAGGTATCCTCTCGCCCGCCGCGATCGATGACTCAGCTTGAGAACTTCTTCGACCGTTTAGGACTGGACTCGGATAACTATCAGCGTATAACGGAACCTGACTCCAAGACGTCGTCGCCCATATTCTTCGACAGTGTCAGCTCTGTGGACTCGGCATTGGGTCTCTACTCCTGGGTCGGCACTAATCAGACGAATCAGGGTAGTCAGTGGCAAAATAACTGCAGTATTGGCATGGGTAACGATGAGTGTAACCAAAGGGTAAATGATCCACCGAGTATCGTCGAGCGAAACGCACGTATTATTAAATGGCTTTGCCAATGCCGCAAAGTGCAGTTAGGATACAGTTAAACAACGAGTTTCTCAGCATGAATAAATTTTTTCATTTCCAATGACAGTATATTTAAATCAACGATGTGGTAATGTTTATCGTTTTACAAAAAAACGGTATACTGCAGTAATTTCAAATTCATATGTTTCTCGTAAATGTGGAATTGATTGTCGCTTTTCCTCTTCCTTTTTACAACTTGCATAATATTTAATCATTTAAGAATTTTTATTAATTCTATATTAGCTGTTTATATAAGCGTACAATTAAAAAATATCCTTTTAATTTATTATGATAATAATAGATAAATCTGTGCCATTCATAACCACTTGTTACGGTTCTATACGGTGTGCCTTTCATTGTCATTACACATTCAGGGTAAAGAAGAAGATTTTTAAAAATGTATTTTCGTGATATTGCGTTAATTTGTATAATAAAATTTATATAGACAATTTTGATGTCTAATATTTTGAGGGCACACATATTAAAAATTTACTTATACTTAATATTATTCTTGGACAAATTTGTTATTATATATTTTAATATCATTAATTTTGTAATAAGTCTATGATATGTTGATACGCGAATTTTTCCTATTTCTATTTAGCAAAGCAATACTAGACTATTACAAGACATTAGACGCGCGCGCGCGCGCATAAGGGGAACGTGGAATTTAATACAATTTTGATGTGAAGTTGTATAAATTTAGCAATGCGTGTTCCTCATTTTCAATTTTGAGAATGATTAGTTGATTTGTAGAGAGAAAGTACTCAGACGAAAGATATTTACCTCGACTTTATGAAAACTTATAGATATAATTTCGTAAAAAGAACGATTAAAAAATGTTGCCTTTACTCTTGTTGGTTTCTAAAAACCACATACATTTAAAGTGAAATAAGCGTTCAATTGATGTTAATATTTGATGAAATTTAGAAGAGTGATCAATGAGTTATAAATAGCTTGATGTTAAACGATAGGCGAAAATATGATTCCAATTTTGTAGTCTAGTAGGAATATTGGTGTAATTTACATTAATATATTGTATAAAGTGAAAGCGCTCATTTATCATTCTATTTTAATAATAATCTACAAAGGTTTACACTAGCTTCACTAGCTCATCAATTTTTATTTTAACGTCATACAACGTAATCATACAACGTAAATCATATAAAACAAATATAAACATATATTTTCTAAATTTAGAAATTTACTTGAAACTGATCTGATGATACATATTTACAAAGACTGCGTGAACTTTACAAATGACATAGCTTAATACATGACATGGATCTTATCGCACCATAAATTTTCATTATTTCGCCAGTTATAGCACAAATTTATTATCGTACTTACAAGGAAATATATAATGCAGAAACTTTGTGTTGTTAAAGTATTAATAATACGAGATATAATTCAATAATTTGTTAATACTAATCAATGTTTCATATTTTGCATTTCAAGAATCATGATTAGTTATACGGGGCAATTGTACTTATACTTTATACTTTTTAGGATTCTATTTAACCTGATACTCAAATTGTTTAATCTAAATTTTCAATATTTTTATAGCTGATGTAATTACAATCAACATATTGTAATGCATTTCGCAAAGTACAAAGACATTAAATATAAAATATTAATGAATCGATTATAGTTAACTTTTCGTTTTATGAAGTATCGTATTATATAATCTTTATTTTCTGAGCAGATTATAGTTTCATCAAATGATGTACTTCTGCTCTCTTATTCCTAATATATATGAACGAGAAAGAAAGGCGGAGCAATCATTCAAGTAGTACATTTACATATGTGCAATTGGATAAGAAAGGCAGATTGAGCGGAAAATTTGCAATCGAAAAAACATTTGATCCTGATAACTTCATAAAACGGGGGATCGTATTTTATGATTAAGAAGATTCTGCATTATCTATTTCTTATTTTTCTTATTTTTCTATGAAGGAATCACTTCTATTTTTTACTGTGTAATAACAAACATGATCTTCATTCACATAATTCATGTAGAATTTAATTACTGGCTTTTTTCTTCGGCTATTTAGTTCTCCCTACTCTCTATGGCAATCAAATGGTAGTATAAGAAACTTTGGATGTTCACGACACTTATGTGATTCATATATTCTTGTAACACGTGATTTTTGTGTAATACAAAATACACAGTTATTCTTAAACTTCTCTGATTTCAGATGATATAGGTGTTTTAAATGTATAATTAACAGTTTCGCGTAACTAAAAATATGATAAAACATTTAAAAATAGAAAGAGAAGTTGATACCATATAATAAAGATCTATATAATAAAGATTCTTTTTGAACAGTTTAAACAATGTATACGAGGTGTCTCAGGCATTCTATACTGAATTACAATTGTTAGAGGCCAAATTAAAAATTTAAGTGAATTTGCTTCGATGCATTAACAATTTTACAGTTACAAGTGACCTAAAAATTATAGAATTTTGGCAATTAAGTTAGATTTTTCATTCATGTCTTGATCGCCAAAATAAATGTTAAAGCTTAAAAAATTACACACAAAGAAATGCCATCGACTTAATTTCAAAGTTGCCAAAGAATTAAAAGTCGACAGCAAATTTGCAGTGCCCGAGACACTATGTATAAGGCATTAGATATATATTGGCGTAATAGTAGTGAAAACTAGCGTTTGCTATATTTGCAATCTTCGACGAGAATATATAAAGAATTTATAAAGTTTATAATCGCTGTAGTAGTCAATTGTAAAGCGTTATGGCAAAATTAGATATATTACTAAAATATATATATATATATATATATATATATATATATATAA